TATTAACAGTTGAACAAACTTTTTGCAAGTTATGAAAAGTCAAAAAATATTTCCAGAAGTTCAACACAGAGACAATGTCTAGATTAGACTTTAGACTAGACTATAGATTATACTATAATCTATACTATATACTAGACTGTAGTCTATGCTATATACTAGACTTTAGACTAGACCTTAGACCAGACTATACTGTAAAATAGCCTAGTCTATACTATAGACTATACTATAGATTATAGTCTAGTCAGTCCATAGTATAGTCAGTCCATAGTCTAGTCAGTCTATAGTCTAGTCAGTCTATAGTCTAGTCAGTCTATAATCTAGTCAGTCTATAGTCTAGTCAGTATATAGTCTAGTCAGTCTATAGTCTAGTCAGTATATAGTCCAGTCAGTCTATAGTCTAGTCAGTCTATAGTCTAGTCAGTCTATAGTCTAGTCAGTCTATAGTCTAGTCAGTCTATAGTCTAGTCAGTCTATATTCTAGTCAGTCTTTAGTCTAGTCTATAGTCTAGTCTTTAGTCTAGTCTATAGTCTAGTCTTTAGTCTAGTCTATAGTCTAGTCTATAGTCTAGTCTATAGTCTAGTCTATAGTCTAGTCTATAGTCTAGTCTATAGTCTAGTCTATAGTCTAGTCTATAGTCTAGTCTATAGTCTAGTCTATAGTCTAGTCTATAGTCTAGTCTATAGTCTAGTCTATAGTCTAGTCTATAGTCTAGTCTATAGTCTAGTCTATAGTCTAGTCTATAGTCTAGTCTATAGTCTAGTCTATAGTCTAGTCTATAGTCTAGTCTATAGTCTAGTCTATAGTCTAGTCTATAGTCTAGTCTATAGTCTAGTCTATAGTCTAGTCTATAGTCTAGTCTATAGTCTAGTCTATAGTCTAGTCTATAGTCTAGTCTATAGTCTAGTCTATAGTCTAGTCTATAGTCTAGTCTATAGTCTAGTCTATAGTCTAGTCTATAGTCTAGTCTATAGTCTAGTCTATAGTCTAGTCTATAGTCTAGTCTATAGTCTAGTCTATAGTCTAGTCTATAGTCTAGTCTATAGTCTAGTCTATAGTCTAGTCTATAGTCTAGTCTATAGTCTAGTCTATAGTCTAGTCTATAGTCTAGTCTATAGTCTAGTCTATAGTCTAGTCTATAGTCTAGTCTATAGTCTAGTCTATAGTCTAGTCTATAGTCTAGTCTATAGTCTAGTCTATAGTCTAGTCTATAGTCTAGTCTATAGTCTAGTCTATAGTCTAGTCTATAGTCTAGTCTATAGTCTAGTCTATAGTCTAGTCTATAGTCTAGTCTATAGTCTAGTCTATAGTCTAGTATATAGTCTAGTCTATAGCCTAGTCTATAGTCTAGTCTATTGTCTAGTATATAGTCTAGTCTATAGTCTAGTCTATAGTCTAGTCTATAGTCTAGTCTATAGTCTAGTATATAGTCTAGTCTATAGCCTAGTCTATAGTCTAGTCTATAGTCTAGTCTATGATTGTTTGAAAATCGATTTATGAAACCCTAATTTATACAGTGCATATTTTTTGAGTGTAATTTTATTTCCAATTGCAATAATGGATTTAATAATGAAAATATAGATTTTAGTAAACTTTATATACGGTTGTAAATTTGCTATTTGTATGCAATTACAGTTTATTTCAACAATTCTAATTCACTTAATGACTTAAGAATTTTTAATAGTTTTTACTTAAAAGGTGTTGTATGGTTGGCGGCTAAATCCAAACTTTAAAATATCAACTACTATAACAATGACGTTTAATTTGCTAAAGATGTGGTTTAGAATTTTTATTAAAACATAAGTGCAAGTCCTTCAAAGCATGAATAACTACAAACGACTCGGCTCCAGTAAACAACTTCAATGGTTGTAAACGTTTGCTCGTTGCAATAAATGACCGGGGCTTTAAATAATTGACTTTTTGGCAAATGTTTAATTTTGTTTCATTTTACTGTTTATATTTGTTTATGGATTGAAAACAACCTTGTAGCAATAATTAAAACACAATTAAATATGGGTTTTTAACCTATTTTCAAAATATGTAACACTAAAATCTACTTTAACTGCTGCCAGTTAAATTGAATTTGATTTTAGGTTTTACGACAACGATTGAGTGCGGTAAACTTATTATGTACTATTATTATGTTTAAATAAAACATAAATTTATTTTCCACCAAAATCTGGGTTAATTTAATTAAATTTAATTGAAAGTGTTAATTATTTTTTTTTTACCAAGACATGTTTCGTATTAAATTTTGACAAACCTTTAACGTGTTACGTTTACGACCATTGTGTTTGGTAAACGAATCAAAAATTTTATTATTATATTTAACTTAATAATTGTTAAATTTGAAAAATTATGTAAAAAAAATTTATAACTGTTTGGTTTGTAATAAAATACTTATGTTAGGCTTGGAGGTAAAGAAAGGTATGTATGTTCACATCTATCAAATATTACACATAATTTGACAATATTACTGAAATCACTTTAAATTTGTATAGCCTGTTGCACTATATTAGTCCTTCACTAACATTAAAGTTCACCAATAGGTTCTGTCTCGATTAAGCTATGTCCGTCCGTTTAACCTTCGTCTGTTTATGTAAACCTTGTAATCAAATTATAGGTCAGGATTTTTAAGGTAATTTGGTATACGTACGTATAATCTTTAGCTCATTGACAAACTTAATTGAGTTTGGTTGAAATTGGTTCAGTCCCTATAAAAACTTCACTACGATATTTCATATAAATACCCATAACTATGTTATTTATGCAGACATTGTAATAATTTAGCCTAGATCAATATTACGGGCCCCATAGTATTAGTACAAAATCGACACAAATACAAAGTAACCTCAATGTTATAACGATCGGTCTATCATTGGCCACAGTCCTCCTCTAAAGCCACTATAATAAGTAAAAGTAGTTTATCGTCTATTTATAAGCCGCTTATTCAAATACATAATTTTTAAAAAAGAAATTATGAGGAACGAACCATTCAAGGATATAGCCCTCTTAAACCAGAGGAATTGGTATACTTCAACTTAAAAATAAGTTGAATCTCAAGGACTCAGGGATTTCTCGAAAAAGGAAGAAGATATAACAGAGGTTAAACCTTTATTTAAAGTCGATAGATTGAACTTTTAGATGATATAACAGATTTTATAAATCCTTCTGCCTTCGTGCTGTCCTAACTTCTCAAATATGACTAAAAATGGGTGTTTTTTAAATTTTAAGACACGATATATCGAAAAAACTGTTATTATGGACAAATTCTGAGCGCAGATCAAATTCAAAGTAGAAATTCATACACTGGGGTCTCTGGAACAAAAATGTATTGACATGAGTTATTGGCGTACATTTTTGCAATCATAAAACTTTACCCCTGTAAACATTATTGGAGTACATGAACCGTTTAGTAGTCCTACTTAATGCAGCCATGGACTAAGTTTATGCATGTCTCATATATTTGGGTTAGTTTAAGACTAGTGCTAGTTCTTTCTAGAGTACTCTTTAAACGAGTGTGTGGAGTAGCCCCAATTTTTGCAGGTTATGTTCAGACTAATACAAATAATATAATTTGTTAATAAATTATCAAGGCTTTCATTTGTGGAATTCCTGGTAAAATATTTATACGAAAAAATATATTCTCGTTCTAGTAAATTAAGAAATAAATGTAAGATTTAAGAAATATTGGCATTTATAATGTTTCGTATATCGAATCTACTAGAACTCAACTCTGAAGAGTGAAGAAATCCCTGTAATATCGAAGCCCGCAACCTGAAAGATTATGTTGAGATTCAGCTGAATCGTTAGTTAATTCATTTGAGTTAATTCATTTTGTAATTCTGGTTGTTACTAATGCAAATATTGGTGTTGCACCTAAAGAAGTATATAGTATGTTCTGTGAAATCGAACATTAGGGAGTTAATTCATTTTGTAATTCTGGTTGTTAATAATCCAAATATTGGTGGTGGACCTACAGAAGTATATAGTATGTTTTAGGTTCTACTGAGACTCTATGATATGTATCAGTCGAACAGTTTGTCCGTCTGTTGAAAACGCGATATAATCCGAACGGAAGGAGTTAGAGTACTGAAATTGGTATTGAAAATTGATTTATATCGGTTCACGATTCCACCTAGACCCTACATAGTGGACCTTGAGTACGTTAGTTTCATTCACTAAGAAATTATTTTGTGAAGTATGCCGAAGATAGAACCTTATTAAAATTAGAACATTAATAAAATTAAGAACCAAAATCTATCTTCCAAATTTTATGAGGATCGGAACATACTTGGCCCAATTCCTCATATGAGCTCTCTTACACAAGATTAAATATTAAAAAAATCTTCCATGACTATAATAAATGAGTAAAAATCGGCAATAAATGTCTTAAAGACGTCAATTAACTTTAATTGTAGTTTTTGCATAAGGCCGTAAAGCTCAGAAGATATCAGTAGGAAGGGATGAGCGATTCAGTGATTTCTAAAGAACATCGATCTCAGTGAACGTGATTTTAAAATTAGTGTTCTTTAAAATAATGAATTAAATGATTATTAAATATCAAGAACCTTTCCTTGCGAATATCAAGAACCAACATATCGCCCTTGGACTTGTACTTTAGAAAAACAAATATGTATAGCCTTAAGAAAAATTTATTTTTCTACAACTTTTTAATCTTAAATTTTTCATCATCAGAGGCTTGTCATTAATTTTATAATATCTTCTTGCTATCAGAATAGATTTTTGCGGTGTTTTAGATGAAATAAGTTTCGTCAAGACCACCCCCCCCCCCCAGATATCCAACAGACTTTTATGTATCAATATAACAAATTACATATCAAATAAAAACCATTTAATTTCAAAGTATTTCTACTTAACTTTAAGAAACTCTTACAAGTCAAATTAAAATATTTTTATGTTTGTTTCACAAAAGATCTTTAAATCTTGTTTTAAAAATCCCCTAAATCAAATTACATATTATATTATGACAAAAACTTACTCTTAACAGACCACAATGTGGAATTGCTTAATCCTTGTAAATATTTATAAATATCCTGTGAACAATTTGTTGAAAATTCGCTTCTAATATTAATCCACTGTGAAGCGATGACATTCAGATCGAATACATTAAGTAAATCCTTAAGGCGTAATGTATTCGTTAAATCGATATTAGTCACTATGCCAGCATCCGAGGGTGTTGCAGAATTTATTGAAAGGTTTACCTCGTGAAGACGTAAATTTAAAGGAGTTATTTGATCACTACTAACACTGAGCAGATTTGTTATATTTGTTAATTTTGTCAATTCACTGGCATTATTTTGATCGATGGCTGCCTGAGTCCAAGTGATATGGACTAGCAGTACAGCCCATAATAGGCTTAAATTAAACACATGCATTTTTGTTTTATTTTAATTATAATTATTGTTGTATTTTTTTCGGATTTCGTTAAAATATTTGTTTTAAATTATTACGGTTTAAATGACAAAAAATTATTTTTTGGTAAAAAAATAACTTTCACTTTAGCCAAGAGTAAATATTTGTTTACACCATTTATTTGATTTATTTGTTTAATAATTTTTTTTTTATTACTAATATTTATTTTTTTCTTCTTGATTTTTTTCACAATTTTATTATGCAATATTTAATTATTTATATTTATTTTTTGTTTTCTTAATAATTTTTTCATAAAATTTGGTAAATTTTATTTTAAAGAACTTTTTTTTGTAAAATTTTAAAATTCGTAACGTATTTTTTACGTTGTTCTTTTAAATTTTTTTAATAATTTTCTTTTCGCTTTTAACTTTTACTTTCCGTTTGGTATATTTCAACGTTTTGTTGCCATTAAAACAAGCGCGTTTTAAATATGGAACGACCGACCGACTTGTCCGATCGCACGATTATGAATTGCGTCTGCGCGTCTTCAACGCTTATAAAAATATGCTAAATATTTCAACACGCACCACAGCTCGCTCGGTTTCAGCTTCAGCCTCAGTTTTAATCTCAATTTAAGTTAACACAAGACAATACAATACAAACTCATAGATACAATTTTACTTAAGTATCGAGTAGTTTTTTTCTTCTTCTTCTTCTTCTTTACATCTAACCATTCATTCATTCACACACAGATAAAAATTTCAAGATAAATAAATAAAAATGATAAAATTTTACTGTAAATGAGAGACAAAAATAAAAGTACGAGTGATATTTTCGTTTGTTGTTGTTATTATTGTTGTTTCTTTTATTTATTTTTGATTTTTGGTAGTTGGTTGTAAAAGGCGTAAAAACGTTTTGTTGGCGACCTTTAATTATGAAAATCCAATGGAGTAAAAATTGTATCTAACTATCTGTTGGGTGTTGCGCGTCTTAATGGTTCGACAAACGAAAGTGAACTGAAGCCGTTTGTTTTCTTCTTTCGTTGGCGAAAAGTTCAAGCTGGAATTAGTTGTGTGTTGCAGTACTTTTATATTTTTTGGTTTTTTAAAAAAAATGTTCAATTTTTATTTTATTGTGTGTGTGTTTTCATGCGGGGATCGTTTGTATGACTTGCATATTGTAACACATTCACTCACTGGATATGTTTTTCATTCATTCAGTCAGTCAATCAGCCAACCAGCCAGCCAGTCAGTCATGCAGTTGTTCACTTAACTAATAGATCCATTTGTTTACCTTTTAATGCTGCAAATGTTTTTTAAGTACCAACAGCAGCCAAAGTCTACACAATTTCCTTGTCACTTTTATTTGGTTGATTTGGTTACCGAGATAGGTTTTAGAACATGCAATAAGTGGTAATATATGGGTGCTGCTTTCGAGTGGTTTCCTTCGAGAATGTGGACGCTAGCACTAAGTTTGGTAGTCGTCTTGATAATTTTGATGGCGTAATACCAACAAATTTTCAGGGTAATGGAGACATAAACCTGCCGTAACGAACTCGAATATTCTCAGACTGGTCATGAGTGGTCTTATATTCAGGTGTTTTGGACCAGGTGTACTGTGGTCTTCATCTCTAAAGAGAAAGACCTCACACACAAATCGGAAAGATTTAAGCGTTTCTGAGACACAAACACGTTAGGGATATTCGAATTATCTTGAAACTAAATTAGTTATTAAATCACCATCGGATGTATTTGCTATAGCTGGTTCTTGACTTTAGAATGAGGAAACTGCTTATGTTCCATTAGCAACTTTCAAATTTGTCGCAGGTCTGCGCTCATGATTGCGCTTTCACAACTGATAAACGTAATGTTAGGATAAACTGGCTATGGCTTATTCTAACCTTTAAAGTTAAGAAACTGTGTTTGTTGTCCCCTCCGGTGCATATTACCTTGATGATCTTCTTCCATCTTGATGTGATTGCAATCCGGGGAAAAGCGGTGCTATCAGTACTTTTTGTCTGCTTGGACTATAAACTTTTAGTGCCATATAATATGTTACCGCGGGAACATGGCAGTGTTTCGTACGTTGACTTCTTCCGGTTATTGGAGAGGTTCCCTTGGGGTACACATGGTTCCTGTGGCTTAAACTTCGACTCTCGGGAAGAGAATGTTGGTTAAAAGACTGTTACTCAGTGAAGTCTATACATATTCCGGAAAAAGTTTGGTAATGTTGCCGAAAAAGACAACAGATAACCCATTGAGTAGTGGCTGTGGGACCAAAGTATTCGACGAAATTAGGGAGGAAACCATTCTCTTAACATAAGGGAATTTTAAGGGTATCACAATGGGCCACAAGGCCTCCGAGTGAGCAACCTATGTAACCTAACCTATGTTATCATGTTCAGATGATACCATAAATATGTCCTTCTTTGTCCATGTTCTTCTATGTCCTATGTTATCATGTTCGGATGATACCATAAATATGTCCTTCTTTGTCCAGGTGTGTTAAGGCTTTGCTCTGTTCATACTTGCTTACCACAGTGTGGTAGGTAAGAGTAAATAAGTGAGTAAGAACTTGAATTTAGCTTAGAATTTGTATTTAGCTTAATAGATTTTTATTTCGGTTACCGATTACATTTCTAGGTGCTGTTGCCGAATCAACAGAGACCATTCCATCTGTGTGGTTATAAATGAAAGTAAAGTTTTTGCATATCGGAAATTAAGCAACGGGACAGCAATGGCCAATTGTTTAGATAGTTCGTATACTTGAGCAAGGTGCTTTTACATGAAACGGCGGACCACCTGCGTACACAAAGGGCAGTGGTGAGTCGTCTAACAACTCAGTCAGTGATTATAAAAGTACCACCGTTAAATAAGGCCGTCATGGAAGGTATTCACGTAAAGCACTTCAACTTAAGTTGCAATTGTTTAGCACTGCTTAGGTCATTCTAAAATTCATAAGTCTGTCTACTTAGAGGATAAAACTCATGATCCCCGTTGTCGTATCATGAGTACCTACGAGCTACAGCTAACCAAAAACTTCCAAGTTGCTCTAAAGACTGTCACTGTGCTACACCATCTACATGAGAAAACGAATGTACCCAGTCATGGAACATAAGGTTATGTTTACAAAACAGGTACTACTTTGATGACTAACTATTCCAGCATACCTGAAGAACATACGAAGTTATATGCAGGAGTCAACGGATCGTACTTCTCATATAGTGGCATTAAACGACGTTATTAATATGGCGGTTGTCCGCCGTCGAAATTCAAGAAATTCTGCTGCGGAAATCAAGAGTAATTGTGGCTGAACTTAGGTCATTATAGAAAACCAGGTTCAATACTACAATTTCTACAAATCTTGTGTTAAGGATCTTTTTGTTAAACTTCCTTCCGAATTTTTGTGGTTCTGATTATACTTATTACAAAACTACTTATCATATAATAAGTTCCGAAGACTAACCATTGGAGAATACTAAAGTTATTACTCCTTCAATCATTAAAGATATTTAATTTCCAAATTTTTTACGATTTATGTAAATGGTGTAATATTTCTTAAGTGATTATATTAAATATTTTGTTTTTTTTTTTTGGTACACGAGTATGTATGTGGTAATGTTTGTTGGGTTTTATTACTGTCTTTAACTTACTAGAGTCGATAGATGGATGGCTGGCTGTTAGCTTGTATTTTCTCGATTTTAAAGTTTTCTGGCCAAACAAACGTTATGATGCAAATGTTTTGTAGTATATTGTCAAAAAGATAACAATAAAACGAAAACACGTAATAATATTTAACATACATTAAAACAAATATGTGTTGGTTTTTCAAAAAAATACTTTTCTTAAAGTGTCGGTTATATCTACAACTCTATATATCACTCTCTCTCTCATATCAGTTGATTTTAAATTGAGTCTCGAATTTGAAATTCAAATAAATATTTCCATATAAATTTGTTAAATAAGGAATTTGACCTGTTAATAAGTTTTATTAGTATTAATCTGAATACAATTTCTTTTAATCTCACGTATTTAAATTTAATTTGAAATACAAAAATGTGAAATAGGAAATTGAAGTAAATTGAATATTTTGTGTTGAAATGATAATGATATCAATTGGTAAGAACACTGATATAAATGGTAAGACAATTGTATTCAGATATAAATGTACATAAGAATTGAAATGGTTGCAGTGCTGGATTTTCTCAAAATCTGCTGATTTTAAATAGAGGTAAATTACACGCCAACAAATTTTTAACGAAGAGAGCAAAGTATATTTTTATAAATATTAAGCTATGTTGATTACGAATCTGTCTTTAAATATCTCGAAAACCTAATGCGGTGCATGTATACTTTGGACTCTAGATTATAGCTTTCTTTAAATGTTTTGGCATGTGTTATTAAAAACTACAAATATTTATATTGCGATTACTATATAATTATATAAGAAATTTACTCCATTCCAAAATTCCATTACGAATCGGTTGGAAGGATCACTAAAATCCTATGGAGTGAACCCAACGAGAGCTATTCGAGCAGACTTCTCAGAATGAACTCTTGGAAGCAATGTTATTCCAGTTATTACATTCCTCAGAAACTTTTGGATTGGAAAAATTCTAAGGAACTATAATACGTCCAGGTAACTAAGTTTCTGAACATTGTTTCATAGACCGCTATATATGGTTTCTAACCATAATTTTCCATGAAAATTACCCGATAGTGATCTAGATTATTATACTCTCTCCTTTTAGCCTTACTTAACCCTCTATTGGGCCTAATTAGAACTCTCATACATGGAAGATCACATAAGAGTCCTTATTTTATACCTCAGAACTTATATTCAATCTTCTTAGGTGAGTTACATATGTCTGGTAAAGCTTCGCTTAAGATGTTTAGATATAAATCCGGCGTTTCACTGTCTTCTCTACGTGATCTACATCTGTCAAAATACATAATGCAACGAACTTAATGTGGGTCAATCCCTCTTCTCTTTTGGTCCTATCATTCCGTTACTACAACTAGCTGTTGGCTGTCATCGCTTGATTTAAAATTTATCGGGTAAACTTTCTTAAATTCTTTTTATAGAAAATATATCATTGCCAACTATCCCCAGTAACCCGGTGCCCACTGGAAGATAAGTTAATTATGGCTCTTTAATAGTTAATATGTTCTAAATGTCACCTTGGAATAATGAAACTATGGCTTAGACGAACGGATCAAACAAATGTAGAGCATGCGGAGAGAACAGAAATTTCCAGGTTTTCGTCGAAATTGGATCCAAATTTCAGGGGGGGCGATATTATTTCATATATAACATATTTCAGGAACATTATAACATATAAAGACTATTAAGGATTCGCTTCCAAAGAAGTTTATATGGTACTCTGATAGTATATATGGTAATAAAATTATACATCCATTCCTTTACCAAGTTTAGAGTCTCCTATGTAACAACAAATTACCATGAAAGCTTACTTAAGTGATGCACCAGCCATAATCTTCTAAATGGGTCCAATCTCAAACAAATTTCGACATTAAAAACTACAAAATTAATTCCCTTTCAAGAAATTTCCTAGAAATATCATTTCACTGTTTGCTATGATTCACAAAAAACTATTACATATATAAAAAATCAATATTTTTGAAAAACCCAATTTATGTATTCAATATTCTGTATTGAAATATAAATTTGTTTTAATTATTAGCACTAAAATATTAGTTAATATTTTGGGTTTTCTGAGGTTAAATTTAGAAAAATATTACTGATTAGTCACTATTTATACCCTACACCACTTTGGTGGGGAGGGTATATTGGGTTTGTGCTGATGTTTGTAACATACAAAAATATTCGTCCTATACCCACCTTAAAGTATACCAATAGGCTTAGAATCGTTTTCTGAGTCGATTAAGCTATGTCCGTCCGTCCGTCTGGCTGGCTGTCCATGTAAACCTTGTGCGCAAGTTACAGGTCGCAATTTTCAAGATAATTG